TGGGGGATCGGTCTAAATTTGTCCCCACCAGGCATCAGGAAAAGCAGCGGTTCGGGCTGAGGCAGTGGGAATGGTAGTAAGGAGACAGGCACTGGGGGAAGCAGTGGGGAGCAGGTGGTGAGGGTAGTAGGGGGCCAAGTGGTAGGGTGTATGATAGAGGGAGCATTGGGGGCATGTGGTGTGGAGATGGTGGGGGAGACAGTGGGTGCAGGCAGTAGGAGGGCAGATGGCTGGGGAGGCAGAGGGGCAGGCAGCTTGCCCCCTGCCACCTCTTCCTCCCCCCCACACACACACACTTACTCCCCTTTGTGCCTGACCCTTGGCAGCCACAGGCCCTTGCTTCTCCCATCTCCCCACCTGCCATTCCCCACTTACCCTTGCCTCGCTGCCAGCAGGCTCCATCCCCACTGCAGCCTGAGGCACAGACACAGTGCCAGTCTGGAGGGGTTGGGGAGGTGAGCCAAGGGCCAGAGGCTGATGAAGGCAGAAGCAGTATGGGGAGAGACAGGGAAAGGTGGGGAAGATGGGGCCCAAGGCTACAGGAGAGAGAAGCAGTGGGTTCAGAGGCCGTGCAGAGTGAAGAAGAGGTGCAGGCTGCTGCAGATGTTGCTGTGGCTGCAGCTACAGCCCCAGCCTGGGCTTGAAGCTATGGCCACAGGAGCTGCCTCCACCTGCTCAAATTCCAAAATGAGGGGCTTTTTCCCCATGTGTAAATGGGAAACCTTGTTCAAAAATCAAGTAAATATGGTAATAGTCACAATATGACAGCTCAACTTTTCAGAAGCAGCTGTATTTTTGGCCACTTACCAGAATCTTTATAAATTCAGTCATCCCTAATAACTATATCTGATTGAATAATATTGGCAGTATAGTATTTACAAGCTATATTATTCAACAGCTATTATCTGGTTGATAATACAGCTGGCCAAATGACATAGTATTAGAAAAGTGATTGTAAAATGGCAGTTGTAAAATAGCACTACGAATAGCACTTGTAAAATGGTATTTGACCAAATGTGGTCACAAAACACATTTGTATACCTATTTTTACTCTCATGCTAAGTGTAAGGTTTACAAGAGACCTCAAGTGGTGAACTAAATCTTGCCCAAATCTCAATTAATGAAAAATTGCTCTGTGCTGAAAACAACTGCATTTCAACATCACTTTAAAGCTGTGTTTCTGGGACTTCAGTGTTGGAAATGGGTTGAGCACTTTCAAAAGAAAATTATTCAGTGGAAGCAGGTTGACAGGTCAGTTTGTCTGAAGCTCATTTTACAAATTACTTCACCAAAATTAGCCTTCTCCTTTTCTCATACGTCTGTATCACTTATTCTCTTTCCATCCACTTTGTAATTAATTTTGAGCGGCTCAGGGAGCTCTTAACCCCAGGACTGTCTACACATTAAGAAGGGTAAACTAGTTTTAAGCACTCTTTAAGCATCTTAAAGTTGTCATGCTATTATTATTGCACCATTCAACATAATACTGCACCATTCAAACTGCATTATGTTCTGTATAGCCTAAACAGTAACTTCTTCACTGAAGTTATGCAGAAATGTCTGTATTTTATAACTATGTCAACCCTAGATTTTTTAGAAGGATACAGAGCTTAAAATCTTAATATTAAGGCCACATGCATGCTGTATAACCAGTCAGCTTATGGGAAGAAAAACTGTAAAATATTATAATTTCTTTTTAAATTATGTGAGCCATATTTTTCCCTTACCCTCATTTTACCTTGCTGTAACTTCAGTGATTTGAATGGCAATATTCCTGATTTATACCTCTGAGAAGAGACTCTGACTTTTTTTTAAAGGAGAAATATGGAAAGAATTAAATACATCTGAAAAGTAAATTTTGTGCAAGGCAAATTTATTACAGCTCCTCCAAGTTGTAAGGATTAATATTGTAGATTAACACACTTGATTAGCACGTGCTTAATTCTAAGGGCCTTGTTACACATTGCACTTTACGCTTTTCAAATGTTGATCACTGTTAATGTTAGTTCAAGTTTAGAGTAGTTACATGTTCAAGCTAAAAACCTTCTCTGACTGTTCCCCACCTGCACAGCTGTGACTTAGCACTAGAGGGCTGGCAAGCAGGGGTCTGACTAGGGGCTACAGCTGTGAGTTGTACACTCAGAAAGGTGGGGGGCACACACTGTCTCCTGGGACCCTGGAGGACTACAACTCTGGCAGCTTATCTCTGGGGAGTGGGCACACGTTCATGCAACATAAACTGAGTAACACAGATCAAAGCTAAACCTGTCCTGGAGTGGCATAAGTTTAAGATGTTTAAAGGGTGCTAAAAACTAGTTTACCCAACTTTATGTATAGACAATCTAGGGGTTAAGAGCTCCCTGAGCCATCTAACATTAATGTGTAACAAAGCCCTAAGATGACTGCAGTGATACTTTAGCAGGTACTGGAGGATATATTTACTTTCTTAATGAACAGGTATTGACTTAAAGCCATTTTAAAAGTTAAGTACTTTCCTGAATCATAGCCTCAGCAAGGTACTTAAGGATGTTGCAGTCAACAGAACCATCCAAAATCATGAAGCTGAGCATACTGCCAGGGAGCAAGAAAGGTTTCTGATTCTCCTGTCAGAACCTGCAAACTCCAAGTGAATTAAATCACTGGATTTAGGAGAAAATGGGAAGAAGTGCTTGGCTAATTAGTTGCTTTCACCTTTCCATCGAGCATGGGCAGGCAGGTGGCAGCTGCAACATTGCAAGCTTACTATTTGTGTATTAAAGATAATCCTTCATGAAAAGATTGCTTAGTCTATCACCTCTGTGAGTTAACTGAGCTCCCAGAAGTAGCATAGAAACAGTAGAACCACATTGGCTAGGGCAGGGGCGGGCAATTATTTTGGGTGGAGGGCCGCTTACTGAGTTTTGGCAAGCCAGGGGCAGATAAATATTAATTTTCTAAATTTTTTAGGGGTCCCGCGGACTGGATAGAATGGCCTGGCGGGCCACATCCGGCCCCCGGGCCGCATTTTGCCCACCCTTGGGCTAGAGACAGACATTACACATAAACCAATTTAAGTGATCAGAAACTGGTTTAAACCTGTAACAGAACAGATGTTCAGTGCACATAAACCAGTGTCAAAATGGCTGAAACCAATTTGAAATAAACGTGGTTGAATGTAGTATCAGACTTAACTGATTTGGCTCAAACCGGTTTATGCAATGTCTGTCCCAGACCCCTTAGCACTACAGAAGGGAAGGGAGGGCTGCTCCAGCACCCCCTGGCTTCTAGCCTGAGCCGCTGCAGGTATGTGCCTGAATTTCCTCGGTCCAGAGAGAATATCTGTCTGGTTACAAACTGGTTCAGCCTAGCCAGTTTAGACTAACCTGCAAAGATTGAATCAAGTCAGGCTTAGGCTTTTTTTCCCTAGCCATTAGCACAGAACTGTAAAGCACCCTGATTAGACCTGGCTTGACTATCTCCACACAGTTCTCTATTGCAAAGGTGCTCAACCCCTAGCCCATGGGTCAGATCTTGCCCACAGCACTATGTCATTCGGCCTTCAGGGTCCCCACAGATCTGTGGGAAAGTCTGCGGGCCATAGCTCTGCAGCCTAAATTGGGTGCAAGGGGCATCGGAGGTAGTACAGGGCCCCTGGAGCGTGATCCCAGCAGGCTGGGACTATGAAGAGGGGGTGTGGGGCCCAATCCTAGTGTTTAGGGTTGGCACAGGATCTGCTCTGGCCTGCAGACTGGCTCCATGCCATTCATCTGACCCAGACAACCAAAATCACAGGCATCACTGCTCTACTGTACTGTGAAGATGTACCCTAAGTCACATTAAGGGCAAAACCAGCTCTCCAAGGCTTTGCTCACCTCAGTGTCAGGCAGAACTCCCATGCAAGACAGTATTATAGTGCGAAGCTCATTTACTTGTGAACAGGGTGGGTAAAAATCTGAGGACTCTATGCCACTGCTTTTACAGTTTTACAATCTTCTCACAGCCATGACAGGAGGAGGCAGCAAAATGACTGGGCAAATAAATATGCCTTTGACTGCTCTTTACTGGAAATGTAAAACTGTTCCTGAGAAACACTGCCTATGATAAAAACACAGCACAAATTACTCTTTGTAGAAAGGAGTTATTGAAGAGACATTGCACTGGGATCTGGGGACATTTTCCCCGCAGGAAAAATCTTTTTGGAATACCTGCAATTCAGTCTGTTACAATGACCACAAAAAGTGCATGTCAGAAATGCTTTTGGATTACACTTATATTTTTGTGGTGTGATTTGATTCCTACCTGTTGTAACTACTTCAACAACACATGAATTTCTAAACTCTCTTTGTATATTTTCAGTCTTCTTCAAAACCCACAGACTACTTAGAAATAGTCTCACCAACTTCAGTAGGCTTTGGATCAAGCCTCTTTCCTCCTTATAAACAATAGCATTTTTACTTACAACCCTTTAGAGACAAACCAGAACCCCTTGTAATGTAGAGAGGAAGTTGCTTTCTTGCCTCAGTGCCTGAACACATGGATGAAACAATACATTCTTAAAGTCCTTTAAAGAGGTTGTAGCAAGAGAGCATTGGTGACTCATTCAACCCCCATTTTCTTCATATCTCTGATAGCACTTGGGAACAATGCTATAGGGAAATGACAAAAGTCCAGACTGCAAGAAAAGCCCTTGTAAAACTGTCAAAATGCAGGGGCTGTATTCAACACAGATATTGCAACATGTAATAACATGCATGTGACCAAGTGCAAATTCAGCACACACATTTGCTTTGTGATCACTTGTACCATCAAATGCTAAATAAAAACACACACACACACATATAAGCCCACTAACTTCAGCCTATTTACCTCCTCCAGGGCAGACCTTATGCTCAGTGAAACTGTTCATTGTAAATGGCAACCAAATTCTTCACATTTCATCTTGCATTTGCTTATTAATGCAAAATACCCTGTCAGTCTGAATCCTACAACCCACACCATATATCCACATCCCCACACATTACCTGTGATTGCTAACTGTGTGACAAAGAAGGTCATCCTGGATTTTCTCTTCCTCTTCCAGGTAGAAAACAGCACAATGGAGTTTCCAGCAATTGTGACAATAAAGAGAATCCAAAGAGTAACCAGCTGCTCTGTCTGTGTTAGAGGGAAAAACAAAACACTGAGGTGAATGGATCATCAGGTACATAAAGATGATAAGGGTTAAAAAAGGTAATGTGTGGGAACAAATGGGATGGCAATAAAGAAATTGTGATTTAATATGAGTTTTGACAACTAACTTTCAATTTTCTGGGAAAACCATTTTCTGGGAAGGGAAAAAGGCCTAGATGTGTCATAACAAAGCTTGTGAAACCCCAGTTTAATTCTACAGTGTCTAAATGTGGTTTCTAGTTTCACAAAGCCAATACAAATTTTCAGTTATCAAAATTAGGTGGTCCTCAGTCTTATTTTGTTGCTCTTGTAACCCATCCATCTTACTTAATGGAAGAAATGTATAAATGGCTTCCTTGAAAAATGAGGGGGAAATACACTTTCATTTTTTAAAGTCCTAGGAAGTCCTAGGAGAGGTGAGCAACCAACCTAGAAAATATAATATTGCATCACGGTGCAAGTGATGAAGCAGAGTGGTATACAAAGAACTACATGATGGCATAAGTCCCTCTAGCATTAGCATGTGTAAGAAGTTACCCAAACATTTTCAAAGCCTTGGAAATGTTTAGCCATAAGAACAAGGGAATATTAATATTTTCTTTTAAATTAATGTGTATGAAAACTGACTTTCCAAAGCCATTTGTTCATGTCTTGCTATTGGCACAAACCCTAATTGCAACGGTGAAAGTCAGCATGTTGCTTGGCAGTAATAAGTTTTCATTGTTATTACTGCTTATTTTGGCAATGAAAGTGAAACAGTTTGTTTCCCCCTATAAATACTATACACTCCTCTCAGTAATGCCTATATTTCAACATTTTTCACCTCTACCCATAATATAACTTTGATAGGTGAAATCTCAAGAGCTTCAGACTAGCTGTGCAGTAACAGAATTGGGTAAGCAAATTGTCCAAGATAATTAGGTCTGAAAATCTCTTGACAACAGGCTGTCTTGTAAAACACATGGAACCACATTTTGCACAAAACAGAAAAAGCAGAGGTGCTCATATAGTGCCAACAATGTATGCTTGTGCTATAGATGAGTTTGAAGCTTGTTACTGGGAAGGAATGAAAGAAAAAGTACCATAAACAGCATTGATTTAAATGAGATTACACCAGGGATGAGTTTGTGTTTTTTCAGTTTAAAAAAAAAGCTACTTCATATAAGAAGAAAGGCAGTGGTGTAGTTTTGGTTCTTGGTTTCATAGGAATATCTCCTTAGAAAACAGTGACTGTATAATTCTGAAAATAGGGTAGAATCAGGCCCTGCGATGCTTAGATCTTCATGGGATTTAAACAGAAGGAACACATGTGGATTTGGAAATCATGCATTAGAGTGGATGATTTCTCTGGAGTACAAAAGGCAGAACAAGAAATAAATTAAATATAAATACAATCATCCTTAGTTATAGAATAATACTAAAGATATGCAGTTCCAATATAAACAAATGGACAATTAAACTCCCTATACAGACAGAATGCAAGCTGAATACAAAAAGATATATTTGAATTATCTTAATATTATTACACAGTGAAAAAAAAGCCAAGGAAGAAGCCTTTTTTAAAAATCTTTCTGTGACTCACATCAAAGAAAATAGGACATCTGAATTAATATGAATTAAAATTTGTGATATGTTATGAATTGCTGTGTGTATTCAATTAAGGCCAATATGGTTATATGTTTACATACAGTCTTTTAATTTCATTGGCTGGCTTCTTGGCAGCAAAACATACCATCGCAATTTTCAGCTACAATTCTGAAACTGATTTGTAAAAACATAACAACAGCCTTCACTAAAAAGTGATAATTTTTCAGACACTATGGTTACTATTTCTTCTAAATAAAAGAAGAGACTATGATGTCCTGTGTACTACTAGGTGTGTCTACAGGAGATGCTTTACTGCGTAGTAGTGTAGTTTACTGCACAGAAAGTGTGTGTGTTTACACGTGCAAATGCACAGTAAAAATGACTACTTGTGAGTAAATTTGCTACCTGCTACTGTGCAGTAACGCACATGTAGATACCAAGTGGGAGCAAATTTGCTGTGGGTCAGCCCTGCCGCTAGGGGGCCAGCCTCAGGCTAGACCCAGGGCTCTTGGGCTGGGAACCTCTCCTGCCCCAGGGCTCGGCCAGCTCTATGCCTGCCCCAGCTGCAGGTCCTTAAACGCCTGCAGGCACAGTGAGCCCTGGGGCACATGCAGGTAGCCTGAGGTCACACTAGGCTACTGTGTCCCACTGTGCAGGCCACAAGCCAGCTGTTCCAGCCTGCTTGCACCCCAATACCACTACCTGGCACCTCAGTGCTGTGCAGCTGCCAGACCTATGCCATCCAGGCCTGCAGGCTGCTGCAGGCTCCTACCAGGTCAGTCAGCACCCGGGCCCAGCTTCAGGAAGCTCCTGGCCACTGAAACCAGCTCCAGCCGCCCACTGTCAACCCCCATTAGCCTGCCCAGAGCCTGCCAGTGCTGCAGGGCATTGCCTTGTTGTGCGGCTCCCAGTCCCGTGCCGTGCCCCTGAGCCGCAAGCAGCTGCCCAGGCCTGGCAGCACAGGGACAGCTGTGTGGAGGCTCACAGAGCCAGCATGGGAGCCCCAATGGCCTCATCATTGCCCACACTACACCCCATCACCTTGGGCCCCAACTGGTCCATGGAAGAGACTGGCAAACTTGTGGCACTGTGTGATGAGGTGGAGGTGCAGCAGCAGTTCATGTGGGACAGGTGCTCCAATGTCCACATTTGTAAGGGGCTATCAGGCTAGATGCAGGAGCACAGGCACAACTGGTTGGCATGGAAGTGCCTCATAAAGGTCAAGGCTTTGCGGGCACAGTGGATCACCGTCATGAACCACAACCATCAGTTGGGGAATGCCTGCAAGTCCATGCCCTTTATGTAGAAACTGACTGAGGACCCGCAGAACCCAGGCCACAGCTGTGCTGTGTACTGCAGCATGGGCAGCCTGCCTGAGCACCCACTCTGGCCTGGCATTGGCAGTGATGTGTTACCAGGAGAGAGCCCCTGAAGATTCCAGTAGCCCATCCCATTGAGTTCCTTGGTCACAGCCTCCACCACCAGCTTAGGGAGCCTGGGCCAGTACCTGGCCAGACAGCTCTGCAGCCTCAGCCCCAACCACAAGGCACAGCTAGCCATGACACCGGCTTCCAGTAGCACCAGCTTCTCCTGGGGGGAGCCCCTGGCCAGGTGCCTGCATGCTTTGCCCTGCAACCTGAGTCCACTAGGAGCTGCATGGCATCACTGGGCATGCAAGCTCTGCCCACATGGTAAGTCCCACACTGCAGGGAAGGCCCTCCCTGCCTTGGCCCCTTCCCCTGACCTCCTCTCCCTGCCTGGGCCAGCCATGTTCCCCTGGCCCCAGGTTTCCCTCCACAGCATGCAGAGGTGAGAACCAGTGCAAAACTTTATTGAGCAGCCTGTACCCCAACAGCTAAGCAGACATGGGCCTTTCACATTCTGAGGAATATGTTGATGCCAGTGGTGATATCCTCTTTGGCTGGGGGTGGGGTGGGGAGGGAAGGGACAGGTAGTGTAGTGACAAGTAGCTCTCCAGACAATGGCAGAGGCTGTAGAGCAACCCAGGCTTCTCCCTGCACCATTGAAGCTCTGGGTCCCATGCCAGGTGTACAGGTTCACCAGGGCACCATGGCAATCAGCAGCAGGGTGTAGTGGGATGGGCATCCCTCCATCCATGCAAATGACTCCTCATGCAGTTCCCAGGACATGTGCATCAGGGGCATGCTCAGGGTACACAGCCATCATGGGTAGAGAGGAGGCTGTCCCCAGGGTGCCTCCCTGGAGAAGCCCACTGCAGGGAGGGAGAGGGCATAGGCAGCTCCTCATCTTGGCGATCTGGGAGCCCTGCACCCCCCTAGCCTGGATGCCATGAGCTTGGCAGCAGCACAGGACAGCAACTGGTCTACAGGAAGAAAAGGGGGGGCAGCAGGGTCTGGAGCCATGGCAGCAGGAGCTGCCAGAAGCCTGACCCAGGACAACACCCTCCTCCTGGACCTGCTGGTGATGGCTGCAGAGGACTGTCTGGCAAATGCGCAGGTCTGGTGGGTAGAGGATGTCACCTGCAAGGATGTGTGGGACTGGGAGGACTGAGTATTCTGGGCGCAGCTCCTAGCTTTGGAATGCAAGCGTGTGGAGGTCCTGCAGGAGCAGGGTGCACTCTTGCCCAGGGCATTGGAGGCCATGGAGGAGGACTGCCAGGTGCTGGACACTGTCCTGGCTCTTGCAGTTGCTTTCATGCTGCTTGCCACCCTGCTCCTGACTGTAGTCCCATCTGGCCTCTAGCAGCTGCTCACCACTCAGCAGTAGTCCCCTCATGAGCCTTGGTAGAGGACCAGCACCACCTCCATGGGTCAGGAGCCCCTGCCCTGGCCCCCACCTGGGTCCCCTGCCAGCCCGCCACCCCAACCTGGGCCCAGCCCTGCTGCTCGCCCCAGCCCCAGCCCCAGCCCCACATGGGTATAGAGCCAAAACTGCCTGTAATGGGCCTGAGACTATATGCCAGCTCTGCTGGTCCTAGACACTGGCTGCAGGAGGGGGAGCTGCCCATGCCAGGAGACCAGCCACCACTGTTAGCTTGAGCTTGCCCCCCACCCATGGGCCTCGCTGCAGTGTGTGCACCCATGGAGGAGTGACCAGAGGCCAGGGTTCAGGCTGCCTGTCCCCAGGCTCCACTCCTGAGAGCACCCCACCCCACAGCTGCCCACTCCTGAAGGGCACCCACACAAATGGAGCTGAGCAGGGAACAAGCTTCCCAGCCTGTTCCCCACCTGGCTCCATGCTCCAGGAGCATTTACTCACAAGTAAACTGATCCTTAATCAAATGCACGTGTAGACACACCCAGTGTGTGGTAACATCTGGCCAACACTATCTTTTTGAATTATTACAGTAATTAGGCCTTACAAGATCACTGTCAGGTATGTAAGGATCACAGGACGCATCTACATGAAATGTTTAC